CAGGGAATGCGGAAATCGGATGCTTTGCAGTAGCCGCCTGATGTCTCAGATTAGGATCAAGTGGCCTCAGCACTGCATCTTTCTGATCTGGGTATCGTGTTGCATTCCTAGAAAGTAGGAGCCCTGTCCAGCGCAAGGGCTGAAGCTGAGAAGATGCAAAGGAGCAGCGAAGACCACGCGGCTGGGGTGACTGAGCAAAACTGCCAGCTGAGGAAGGCCCTGGTGGAGCTGAAGAAGCAGCAGGAAGAACTCCACCTGGAGCTCCAGGACTTGAGGGGAGGCAGGGAGGAAGCTGCGGAAAGGCTGAGACGGTGCAAGGTGAGTCGCGGGGCTCCGGGCAAGCAGAAGAGCCTGGGGGGGTGAGGGGGGGTGAACCCATTGGGTCGGTGTCATTTTCTTTGCTGCATCACTTTTAGCCCAGGCTGGTATTGAGGCTCACTTGAAAACTAGGAACAATTAAAAACAAAAAAATGATAGCAGAAGTACACGTGCCAAGAAGGAGGGCATAAATAGCAGAAGGTGTAGCTACCGCCTCCCCTCAGACTTCTGGCTATCATAGAGACGCGTCAGACAATCTGCCAGGCGCCCAAATTACGTTAGTGTCAGTTTCTGAAAGAGACCATCCCAGGGCCTTGGCACAAGAATGCTGTCCTCGAGGGTCTTCTCCTGGCACCCGTTATGGGCCTTGGAGGAGGGCCTGGGGTGATGGCCTCACGGGACGGCTTCAGCTAGGCAGGTCTTAGCCCTCTGCCTGCAGCGCGGCTGTAAATCCGGACCCCGCAGTTGGGGCCTCGAGGATTGAGGGGTCAAAGCTTTGAAATCCAGGGTTCCCGGGGTGGGGTGGGGTGGGGTGGGGCAGGTAGGGGATGCTGTGGCTTGTTGGAACGTAACCAAGTCTCTCGTGGCAGAAAGAGATACAGTCCTTGGTCCACGCAAAGGAGGAAGCGTGTGAGCTGGCCTCAGCCAAAATGTCTTTGGAAGCCCAGCTGGAGGACGCCCAGGTAAAAGAGAGTTGTGCTTCCGAGGGGCCGCCCGCCTTCTCGGGCACGCCCCTCCTCTCCGCAGAGCTGGCCTGGCCGGGTCCTGGCCTTGCACTACTGAGGAGCGAATGCCGCCGGCTGGGCAAAGCGGCTCTTGGCTGGCCCTCGATCTGAATGCCCCCCAGGAGGCCTGGTGGCTCTGCTGCCCCAGAGCTTTCTGTCCTGCAGGCTCTGGGCAACCGGCGACCCTTTTCCTCCCCTGGCACAGCACACTCTGATGTGCATCCAGGCCAGGCAGTGCTTCTTCAAGGATGTTTAAAGGGTAAAGGGGAAGGGGCTGTGAAAAATGAACTCCCAGAACTGCATTGTGCTGTTGTACGGAGCACGGAGCCAGACTATTAAAAAGTAGCATCCTGTGCACAAACCATCTAGGTGGCTTTTAATGCCAGATCGTCTTCTAGGTGGTTGTTGATGATAATGAAAACTGGATTTGTATGTTGATGTTTCTCTCAAAGGGGCCTGTTCCTGAGGGTGCTTTTCTTGAGGAGTAATAAAGAGTTTTAGCCTGTTTCTCTTCATTCCCATCAAAACTGCAGGGTGCAGCAGAAGAGTTTAATTAAGGCCAAGGGGCTAAAACGTCCTTTTCCCACTTCCTTGTGCTTTTGTGGGGCCTCCTTTGCCCCTCGGTCCCTGTGACTGTTGCAGCCATAGCAGGGAGCATAAATCTGTTCTGCTTTCTGATTACCCTTTCCAAGGCCTTTGCCTTCCCCTTGTTAGCAAATTTCAGGTGACTGCTGCAGAATTTGGATCTCACCTTTCATTTTAGAGATGAATTGACTGTTTTAGCTCTCTGACTGGGGGAATTCTGTTTATGATGCATGTGGAACATCTGCAGAAATGCCAGATGCTTTGGCAGGTAACATTTCACAGCCTCGAGATGCCTTAAGGCAGTCTCACTCCTGGGCTGGGGCCGAGATGAAGGCAACAGGTGGGAGCAGAGCAGAAAAACGAGGCTGCTGTCAGGACAGATTAGTGCCGTGGTTAAGTGGGGAAAGCCCAGAGACCCAGCCTTCTGTCACAGGGACAGAGCTTGCCCTTACTGAGGAGGTCCCTGCGGCGGTCTGCCACCGTCGCTCCTTTCCGCGTCTCTGGGGATGTGCTGGGTCCTCAGGCCACGCAGCCACGTCTTCCCTCTGCAGAGGAACGTCAGTCGGCTGAGCCAGGAGCAGCAGCAGCTGGCAGTCTGCCTGAAAGAGGAAACTTCCCAAAACGAGCAGCTACAGAAAATGAAGCGCGAATTGGAGGACGAACGGTGGCAGCTGGACAAGACTGTGGAGAAGTTGCAGAAGGAGGTAAGAGCCGAGAGAAGGTGAAGCGCCGAATGGCAGAGGGGGAAAGGCCTGGCCCAAAGCTGCTCGGAAGATCCAGGGGAGGAAAAGACCCGAGCCAGGCGAAAGGTGAATGCCTGTGACCGAGAAGAGCAAGGAAGGTCTTTCGAGCTAAAGCTGGAGAAAGGGAGGAAGCCTCTGGACAGCTCTCTGTCTCTCACCAGGGCGCTCTCTCCAGCCACACCTGAGAACAGAAGATGGTTGTCCCTTTTAATCCTGGTGGCCACAGAGAGAGCCGAGGGGTGCTTCAGAACCTCCTCCAAAGAAGTCTTGCGCTCAGAAACACCCACCTCGGAGCCCTTCTCTGCTCTGTTTGGTTTCTAAATGCTTATGCCATTTTTCGGCTCGTGTGTGTCCTACAAATTATCTTGGAAAAGGTTGAACGAGCAACCTTCCACATCCATATAGAATGCAGTGAAAGAAATTGAATCCAAGCTATTTCA